GTGTGCTGGAGTTTGGTGAGCCCCCTCTGGGGTCAGGACCACCTTCGTTAGGGCCAGGAAAGCCTCTCTTGCCTAGCTTAGTAGGACCCTTGTGATGTGCACGAACAGTAAGCTGCAGACATGCTGGTTTCTCAAATTTCAATCTTTACTAAAAGGATGTAGTAGACATTGGTGGTTCTGGAATTCCCAGCATCCATCCTTCCCCTCGGCTACAGCATGCTGACCATCACCCCCTCCCCATGGAGAACTCCTTCCCATGCATTGTTGTGGGAAGCACTATTGCTTCCCCTATGGAAGCCCAAAGAGTCAGGGCCCCCCTCATGCCCAGTGCAGATGACCTATGGCAGACCTGGGAGCTGGTGACAAGCAGGTGGCTATGGGGAGAGATGGAGGCCATTCCCCGCAGGCCCTGCCACTGACCTCCACATGGTGTCTATGGGAGGTCACCTTCTGGGGCTGCCTGGGTTGCTGTGTTGCCACCAGATCTGCCACTGTCATGGGCAGCTCCTTTCTGATGAACACCCTTTTACCCTGCTCCTCACATTCAGGGTCCTTGTCTGCTGAAATGGGCTAATGCAGTCTGAGCAACATAGAGGGGAAGAATTTTTAATTTTTTTTAATGTTTATTTATTTTTGAGAGAGAGAAGCACAGAGTGTGAGTGCAGGAGGGGCAAAGAGAGGGGGAGACACAGAATCCAAATCAGGCTCCAGGCTCTGAGCTGGCAGCACAGAGCCCAAGGCAGGGCTTGAACTCTCGAACCGTGAGATTATGACCTGAGCTGAAGTCAAATACTTAACCAATTGAGCCACCCAAGCACCTTTTTGAGGGTAAGTATTTTTAACAGAACACCAAATTCCACTATGAGGGACTCTTAAAGCGATCATTCAAATTTAATAGATAAAAAAGCTAATCTGTTTAAGCTACTTTACAGAACAGTAATCAAAACATTTACAACAGTAAGTTACCTTTGGGGGCAGGAGGGAAACTTTGAAGGGGTCAGATGACATTCCACCTTAATCTGTGCAGTGTTTTTGAGAGTACAGACATATGATTGCATAACAGTGTGGGTGTACTTAATGTCACTGAAACACACAGTTAAAAATGGCTAAGATTTTATGTACAAATTTTATGTTATATACATTTACCATCATTTAAAAATAGGTTAAAATAGAATTCAAAATGCAGCTTTAAAACTATTTTAACGAATACAAAAAAAGCACAGACATAACTTAAAATTTCACCAAGATTTGCACCCTTTCCTGTAAATTATACCCTAATCAAAACAAGAAAGTGCACACACACACACACACACACAAAAACACTATAATATGCCAAGTTATAAAACACTGGCGATGCCCAAGCTTTCCTGGTTTCTCAAGGTACCGCATTATCTCATTTTCTGCAGAAGCCAGGGCACAGCCCCTCCCGCCAGAGCTGGATCCTGAGATTTCAAGGCAGCTGTTCAAAATCCCTTAGCACTGGCAACCCACATATCTATGTGATTCAGATTATTTTTTCCATTCCGTGGAATCAAAACAAAATACAAAACTAAGTCGGATACTGGAATGACAAAATTACAGAGATGGAATACAGATACATGGTAGCCAGGGGTTAGAGAACCGGAGGGATGGTGAGGGAGGAAGATTCTATAGGAGCAGCCCAAGGGGGCTGCTTGGAGGTGATGGACCGGTTCTGCTCCTGACTCTTCCAGGGATTGGATGAGTATCTATATATGTGATAAGATGTCATAGAAGCATATGTAAAAACATACCCCAAAAGGGGTTCATGCAAAACCCCTGTGAAATCTGAGTAGAATCTGTAGTCTAGCTCATTGCATTGTGCCTATCAATTTCCTGGTTTTGGAAATAACACTACGGTTACATAAGATGTAACCATGGGAAGAAGCGGGGTGATAGGTACAAGAATTACTCTGGCAACCTTCAGCTATTTTATAATTATTTCAAAACAAAAAGTTAAAAAAGCACAGAAACAGATCAAATGAGACTGCTAGAAGCCTGTCCTAAGCCCAGCTTTCAAATTTTTCTCTTCATGGACTCACCGCTGTTCTTACGAACTGACTTAATAGTACAAATAAATTATGACACATTAAAACAAAAGCATCATGTAACTATTTTTTTTTTTAAAGGAAGGGATTCATTTCCTTTGTAAAAACTGAAAATCACTGAGGTATTGGAAAGAGCATGCAATAAGGAAGTAAGAGACAGGGCTAGTTCAGCCCTGAGCTAACCGGCTGTCACATAAAGAATTATTACAGCTGGTCCGTGCAATTAAGAGACTTTGTGGAGGAAATGAGACACGCACATCTGGGAGGTCACACAAGGACGTAAGATTTCCCCAGCAGCATGCACAGTGTCAAGGGAATAGTGTTGTGGATTGTATTATATTGCCCCCCGCCCCTAAATTCCTATGCTGGAGTGCTAACTCCCAACGTAAATGTATTGGGGGACAGAGGTTTTAAAAGGTAATGAAGGTTAAATGAGGTCATGAGAGCAGAGCATTAATGGAAGATAACTGGTATCCATGAAAGAAGAGGTGATCAGGGGTGCCTGGGTGACTCAGTCGGTTAAGTGTCCGACTCTTGGTTTCGACTTAGGTCATGGTCTCATGGTCCTTGAGTTCGAGCCCCACATAGGGCTTTGTGCTAACGGGGTGGGGCTTGCTTGGGATTCTCTCTCTCTCTCTCTCTCTCTCAAAATAAATAATTACCTTTAAAAAAAAAAAGGCGATCAGGACACAGACACACACAAGAAAGTGCAAGTAAGGACACGGGGGAGAAGGCAGCCATCTGCACACCGAGGGGAGAGGCTTCAAGGAGAAATCAACAGGGCGGAAACGTTGATCTTGGACTTTCAGCCTCTAAAAGCATGAGACAATAAATTTCTGTTGTTTAAGCTGCCCATCTATGGTACTTTGTTAGAGTAGCCTTAGCAGATGACTGTAAGTAGCAAGGTGATGTGGTTTAGGAGAAGGAAGACAGAACTAACTAGCTGTCTGCTCTAACAGAGGGCCTGAAATAGAGTACATAATCACAATTGATGGTTGATATAAAAAGTTATATATTCCAAAGAAAAAGAAAGCCAACTATAAATCATATGAAAGAAAACCATGCGATAAAATGCATATTATTTGGAAATGCTGGAATTCCTTCATCTGCATGCATGCATGCATGCATGCATTCATTCATTCAACTAACAGTGGTGACTGAGCCTTGAAAGCCCTGTGCCAGGCACTGAAGGTCACACAGATGAAGGGCAGAGCTTAGCTCTGCCTGCTGCAGAGTCTTCTGGGAAAGACGTAAAGGCAAGAGCAATGTGAGGGGTCAGTATCTCCTCAGAGGCTAGCACAGGGAGTGGGAGGGGCCTGGAGCAGGCCCCCACCCCCACCCACCCCCTGCTGGGCAGAAGTACAGAAGCTGATTTGTGAACAAATGCCTGGAAGGAACAGCCACTCTTTGAGATAGTACATGCTTTTGCAGCTCAGCCAAGGGAGACTGGTCTTCCTGAAGCCCCAGCGGGACTGGGACTGCAATGGGTGTCTGCTAACCCTCTGTTGGAGTCGATTTCACGATACATTTGCATAGTGAGTCCTTTATGGAGACAGCCCCGGACAATGAAGCATGGATTGGTGGGTCCGTTTTTCACACCTGTCTCCCAGATTTATTTAGCCGACTGATGGAATAGAACATAAAAAAAAATCATTTTGGAAACTCTAAAATGTAACATGTCTAGCTATCATTATACTAGATTTTATTTTAATGTTTATTTATCTATTTTGAGAGATAAAGAGCACCTACACACAAGCAGGGGAGGGGCAGAGAGAGGGAGACACAAAATCAGAAGCAGGCTCCAGGCTCTGAGCTGTCAGCACAGAGCCCAACAAGGGGCTTGAACTCACAAACTGTAAGATCATGACCTGAACCGAAGTCTGATGCTTAGACTGAACCACCCAGGCACCCCTCATCATACTTGATTTTGAAGGGCCTTTTAGGCCACCTAGTTTAAAATGATCAAGGTCAGCCAGCTCATATTTGGCAGAGCCAGAGCAAAGGCTCAGGATTACCCACCGTCAGGACTCCCTAGGAAGCATGGGTTCTTAAACATTTGATTTCCACAATAATATATATATTTGTCAATCCTATACTGTTTCCCTACAATTCAAAGCACATCAAGGTCAGAATCTTGCTCTTGGTGGTGCAGTATTTCAGCCTCCTGGTGGATAAAGGTTAGTGCTATAGCAGTCAAAATCGGAAACTGTCTTAGTGTTTCCTCTGTTAGCCACGTGCTGTATTTCTAAGCCCAAAGACTGGTTCCTGTTTGAAACCTACGACATGTCAACAACAAGCCAGACACAACTGAGGAGAGGAGAGAAAGGAAAACGGCAAAGAAAAAGCTGGGGGAGGAAGCAAAAGTGGAGGAGGGAGGGAAGGGGAAGAAGAAAAATGTGCCTTGCTGGTGCCACGTGTTGGTCTCAGTATCATTTGACCAGAAATCAATGAGCCTGGTGCCCAGGCTGGCAGAGGAGACCAGTGTCACCCACCCTACAGTCACCTCTTAGGACACTTGGTAAAGATCACCCACGTGCACGAGGGTAATGAGCCTTTGTCTCATGACAACTGTGTAACTCAGTGAGGGGGTTCCCCTCCCGCATGAGTGACCAAGAGTCTCAGAGCCAAATGTGCCCCCAAGCACCATCACCTATGGGCAGCATGGTGGCACCTATGGTTTAACTTTTCATATCCTCCTTATTAAGCATCCATTTGGACGTCTTCTGCCATGAGCCACCTCAACATTTTGCAGGGGGAAAAAATGAAGTAAAATAAAGTCAAAGAGCCAATTTACAAGAAAAGAGGCAACAGAAAAGGCAGAGTGTGTCTCAGGACGGCTCCTCCAGACTGGAAGTGTTACCAGGGGATTATCTCGAGATTATCACAGGGGGTCGGCAGCCCCTTAAATTATTACCATTCAGCCTTTAGACTTACCAACAGTGTCACACGGTTCGTCTTTGTGTACGCAGAAATCTGTCCTGAAAAAAAACAAAGACAGACCTGGTCAGGTGTATGCAGTCGCCCCCAAGAATGGGAGAAGAAAACATTGTCAGTGAAGCCTGATTGGTCGTCCTGTTCTGTTATGGGTTCGGGTGTCCCAGGTTATAGTGACAAACACCAATTACCCATTTGTCAGGAGTAACCCATCCACAGTTCCCACCCTGTAGGCCCAGTTATCCCCACATAGAGCCCCCTTTTTACAATTCAATGACTCCACCTAACACTCAGTTTCTGGGAGGGCTCCCTCCCAACAATTGAAAGTTCTCAAAGAAGATGTTTGCAAGTCATGCATCAGAGACAATTAATATTCACTATAATCAAACTATAGTGACTTCCCCAAGCTACTCTATGTGGGTAGCAACTGGCGCTAGATGCTGAAGTGACCAAGTGGCACTTACAGGAGAAGACAACAAAAAGGAATGTCTTAAAGTTATGTGCTTTAAAGCTTCCCAGGGTCCCAGGGTCCCTGGGTGTGTGGCTGTGTGGGAAGAGCAAATACGCTCAACAGCTGGTCCAGCCCCAGTTCTATAGGTGTAAGGGGGTCGCTATGACCTCTAGCCACTCATGTGTGAAACAACAGGTCTGGGCCCTTCTTTTCCAAAACCAGAGTGTTCCCATGATACTTTCCCAAAGTTCTCACAGTTAGGGGCTGACCAGATCAGCGGTTGGGGCAGTGTCCTGGCTGGGACTGGGTGTGAAGAGCAGTGGCCTGGTCCTCCAAGGCCCCATGCTTGTTTTCTCATGAAGGCCCATGGAGGGCTGACAGAAAGCACCTGCTCCCTTCAACTCCTTCAGGCTTACAAGGGGTGCTCTGAAGCCACATCTCACTTTACTTTCAAAGTTCTTCTGGACAAGCCAACCGGACAAGCTAGTCGGCACTAAGCCAAGCTGTGAAAGAACATGGCAGATCTGGGTTGGGCCATCTGTCCCCTTTCTAACACTCTGTCCCCTGGCATCAGTGTCCTCACTTCCTCTCCTTCCCTCTGTCACAATCTATTCTCAGGGAATGATCTGACCTGTTGTTTACAGAGGGCACAATGACAGAGAAGACCATGTGGTACTCCCTAACCTAACTTTGTATGGTCATCTCTCCTTCTCCCTCCATGTCAATCCCAATCCAATGTGTAGTGTGTTCTGTTGAATCTGTGTCCAAAGTGTAACCCATACCTGATGCCTCTCAGTGCTGTGTGGGATCCCCTGGGGACAGAGCAAAGCCTGTGTGTTCCTGACTCTGGTTTGTTTCAGGCTCACCTAAGGCTTGTCAAAGACTCCACCTGCCTACTTAGACCCTCAGATTCCATTTGGAGTCCTGGTATGGAACCAGATGTGTGGGATAGCCCGCAACCCCAGGAGGAGGCTGGGGCAGCTTGGAAGGTGTTGGCCCTGAAACTGGTCAACAGGTTCTGCTTTACTACAAGTTTCTAATTTTATCCTAACAAGCCCTTCTGTTTTTATCATCAATTATAAAATAATTTTAACAAGTGGAAAAAGGAAGCTTTCAAGAACCCCACATTTTTCATAACCTCACTCCAAAACCGAGGGAACTTTCATGGAAATGGAGATAGGATAACCTCAGGAGCCATAAAAGGAAGCCTTGAGGTTTTTGTTTGTTTGTTTGTTTTTGTCAAAGACGACCTTTAGTGTTTTTGTATTCTTTGGGTAAATGCCCAGTAGTGAGAATACAAAAACACTAATTCAAAGAGATACATGCACCCCCAGGCTTATAGCAGTATTATGTACAATAACCAAGCTACGGAAGCAGCCCAAATGTCCATCGATTGATGAATAGATACAGAAGATGTGGTGTAGACATGCAATGGATTATTATTCAGCCACAAAAAGAATGAAATCTTGCCATTTGCAATGACATGGATGGGGCTAGAGAGTATAAAGCTAAGTGAAATAAGCCAGTCAGAGAAAGACAAATTTCATATGATTTCTCTCACAGGTAGAATTTAAGAAACAAAACAAACAAGCAAAGGGAAAAAGAGAGAGAGTGAGAGAGAGAGAAAGAAACCAAGAAACAGACTCTCAATGATAGAGAAAAAACTGATGGTTACCATAGGGGGGTGGTGATGGGGATTAAACAGTACACTTGTGATGAGCACAGGGTGATGTATCGAAGTGTTGAATCACTATACTGTACATCTAAAACTAATATAACATTGCATGTTAACTGGAATTAAAACTTAAAAAAAAAAAAAAGATGATCTTTTAAAAGACTAATAGGCAGTAGACAGTGCCAGGAAGAAGTAGGGCAGAGAGCAAACCAAACAAGTAAAATTACGGACATATATATGCTCACTGCTATGGTATGGATCTGACCCCAACTCAACATTCTTCATCTGACACTCCTCCCACTTAAATGAACAAGTTGGCTCAATGCCTTTTTCCAGGGTTTCCCAGAGTGAGCAACTGAAGCCTGGGCAAAAGGAGAAATCACGCATGACCACCAGTCTCATGATCAAGAACTAAACAGAACTGAGTAGAAGATGGTGCCCACTTCATGGGCGTTATCTTGGAGATAGCCAGCACTGCTGGATGACAGGGGCATTGTGTGTTCTCTCATCCCATGAGAGTTCAATTAGAATATTGGCTTAGGGGCGCCTGGGTAGCTCAGTTAAGCATCCGACTTCGACTCAGGTCATGATCTCATGGTTCGTGAGTTTGAGCCCCACATCAGGCTCTGAACTGTCAGCACAGCTTCAGATTTTGTGTCTCCCTCTCTCTCTCTGCCCATATCCTGCTCACTCTGTGTCTCTCGCTCTCAAAGTAATAAACATTAAAAAAAATAATTAAAAAGAATTCTGTCTTAAAAGAGTCAGCTAAAATTTGAATCTTCTCTTTCCTTCCTGTTCAATGTTGTTTCTCAGAAAAGAAAACACAAGCCATTTTGCTGCAGGGGCAACTTCATCTCCAGGTAATCCTGCTCCCACTGCAAATTCATGCCAAACCCACTTTCAGGGGCTATAGGATTCAACTGAGGTCCCAACGCAATCTACACTCTCTAGTCCATTCCCTTTCCACTGCTTGTTCCTCAGAAGAAGGAAGGCTGTCTGGACCTCCATGACTTGGCGTGCTTCGTGGCTATGTGAGCTGTGCGCTCAGAAGCTTCTGGTCCTCCAACCTGGTTTTTACTGCTCTGCTATTACCATCTTGAAAGTATTTGTAACATGGAGTCCCCACATTTTCATTCTGCACTGGGCCCCACGATTTATGTAGCTAATCTTGTGCATAACTGATTGCCTTGGCATACAGTTGGGGCTTAATAAATAGTGGCTCCTTTATTTTTGGCAGACGTACATTTCCAGACAGTTTCAACGTGCCCTGTGAGCTTCTTGGTGGCCTGGTCTCCCCAGTGTTTGGAAACTCAAGAAAATGTAATGTGATGGTCCACAGACACTCACAGAGCCCTCGCCATCAGCAACGCCTGCAAGAGGCCCTCTTGGTCAGAGCCTGGAGCGAAGACATTCCTGGAGAGCGGGATGGAGTTAGGCGGAGGGGAAGGTCCAGCGATGGCAGGAGGTGTACCGGTGGCTGAGCTCCAAGCTGGCCCTGCCTGTTTGCTCCAGGTGTTTCCCAGGAGCACAGAGCCAGGTTTAGGGGGAAATCTATGTTCCTGGCTTCCTGAGGGAGACGCAGGACCAAAGGTAAAGCTGTGCCAGGTGCCGAAGCCTCCTGGAGCCCGGTCCTCTGTGCGGGTCCCGCGTGGTCCCAGACTCCACTCACGTGGAGGTGTTTCCTAGGCCCAGACAGGACTCAGCTGCCAGAAAGCCAGCTTCTGTGGCTTCTGGCTCAGCAGCTCTGGCTGGACATGAGGTCATGCTCACATCCCTGTGGCTGGCCATCTGCAGGGCTGGGGGGTGTCCAGGAGAACGCACTCTTGGGCTCAGCTACAGCCCATAAGGGAGGGGCGGGGAAGAAACTCTTGCGTTGGCCAGTCTCAGTCCCCGGACTGGGGGACCCTGGCCCCCAAACAACACGTGGCCTGTGCCGGCTGTGATTAGACCCTCAGCTCAGATTACTCCAGGAGGAAGGGGCTGTTTCTCAAGAGCAACAGCTGTCTCGCACCCAATTTCCACGTGAAAACATCAGTCTGTTAGTATCCCAACTGAGAGAACTGCAGCTCCAGGCCTCTAATTATTAAACAATGCGTCTCAGCCAACTCGGCTCCCAGCCCCGACTCCAGCACTGCCTCCCCTGTCCTTCTGGGAGGTCTTGAATTCAACAGCTGTGAGCACCCAGCGAGTGGGCTGGGCACTGGCTGCTTCAGTCCAGCAGCTCCGCAGAAGCAGGTAAGAGGAAGCACGACTGCTCAGGTAGCCCGTTAGATGTCGGTGCGAAATGGGGAAAGAAAATCCCAGCTCCTAGGCTGGCCTCAGGGAACGCAGACGCAGGATGCCTTCACACTGGTGCTGCCTTGCAGCAGAAGGAACCTTGCTTTCCGGGGACACCAGACATCCCCCTCCTCCCCAGCACCTGTATTCAGAACCACCTCCCCCCCAGCATTCAGGACCATTCCCCTTCTCCCCAGACCCCTTAAGTGCTTAACTAGAAAAAAAATGGTAAATTGTTTTATTGTGATGAAATACACAGAACATAAAATTTACTATCTTAGAACTTTTTCAAGTGTACAGTTCGGTGATGTTGAATGTGTTTGTAACATTGTGCGATGAATCTCCAGAACTCTTTCCGTCTTGCAAAACTGAAACTATATCCTTTAAATGCTAACTTCCTATTCCCTCTTCTCTCCAGCTCTACATCCTGTGTCTATGAATTAAACTGTTCTAGGTTCCTCGTGTAAGTAAAATCATACATTGCTCTTTTTGTGACTGGTGTGTTTCTCTTAGCGTAATCCCCTCCAGATCCATCCATGCTGTCACATGTGACAAGACATCCTTCCTTTATAAGGCTGAACAATAATATTTCACTGTATGGATGGACCATTGTTTTGTTTATCCATTCATCCATCGAAGGACACCTCAGCTGTTTCCTCTTTTTAGCTATTATGAGTCATGCTGCTAGGAACATAGGTACACAAATCTTTGAAACCCTCCTTTTGATGCTTTTGTGTATATACTCAGAAGTAGGATTGCTGGACCGTATATTTGGTAATTCTGTATTAAATATTTTGAGGAGCCTCCATACTGTTCTCCCCAGCAGCCGCACCATTTTACAGCCCCACCAGGATTGCACAAGGAAGAGGTTCCGAGTCCTCGCCAACACTGGTTATTGTGTTTGTTTTTGGTAGTAGCCATCCTAATAGATGTGAGATGTATAAAGCCAACATTTTTACACAAAGTATTTCCAATATGGTAAATAAGCTTGTTGGAAGCAGGAAAAAGAAAAGAAAGCTAGAATTCTCAGGCTGAGGGTGCGTGCACCTCTGCAGATGGCATTTTATGAAAGAGCTCATCCAGAAGCTTTGTCAACACTGATTTCAGTGACATTTATTGCCTCTAGGAAAAAAAAAAGTGGGGGTGGGGGGAAGGTAGCTACTCTCCCCAAACCAAGACCACTTGCACGTGCTTTCTTGACCCAGACAAGGAATGAAACTGCAGGGAAGACACTACATGGGGAAAGTTCTCATAAACATCAGAATCTGTACATTTTATATACCTTTGCTACAAACCACGTTCAAAGTAGTGACCTTGGAAGTTTAGCATTCCAAAGGTGAGGTTGGAATGATGCATCTACAAGGTGAAAAAGGCCAAGGAGTGCCAGCAATCACTGGAAGTTAGGAAGAAGGAATCAAGGACTCTCGCCTAGAGCCTTCTGAGAGAGCACAGTCCTGCCCACACCTTGACCTTGGACTTCTGGCCCCCAGAACGGTGAAAGAGTAAATTTCTGTTGTTTGGAGCCACCCAGTTGGTGGTAATTTATTACTGCAGGCCTACCAGACTAAGATAGCATTGCTGCTGCCTGTGTGGAAAGCTGTCCTTAGTTTCTGTTGTCCGCTGCTATGTCCCTGGTTTCCCTCCCAGTCTAGAAAAGTCCAGCTCTGTAGTCTACAAGGAAGCTCAGCTCCCTACTTCAAGTAAAACCACCATGTGAATTCCCCAGGCATCCCTGCCCACTGCTGTTATCCTGAGAGTGTCCCGTGGATGGAGCTGTGCACACAGCACACGTGTACCGATGTGGACTTCCTCCTACGGGAGCTCGGAGTATCCACAGTCCCCATACTAGCATGCTTAATCCAGTCTGGAGGCAGCCTCAGACACAGGTTAGCTCTTCCCCAGTGAGCATTATATTTGGCGTAAGGGAGAGATAGTAGATGAATTTGCTTGGGACTCTTGGGTAACCAGGATTTCAGTACTTTTATATTAATAATAGCAATGGCAGCAATTATGGCTAACATTTATCATGTCCTTACTCTGGGCCAGGCAGTGAGCGCCTGGGTTGCTCAGCTGGCTCAGTGTCCAACTTCGGGTCAGGTCATGATCTCCTGGTTTGTGAGTTAAAGCCCCACATCAGGCTGTGCACAGATATTGCAGAGCCTGCTTCAAATTCTCTCTCTCTCTCTCTCTCTCTCTCTCTGCTCCTCCCCCACTAGCGTTCTCCCTCTCTCCCTCCCTCTCTCTCTCTGACTCTCTCTAAAAATTAAATAAACATTAAAAAAAAAAAGAAAAGCATTTCCCATGTTCACTGAATCCTCATAACTCAGAGGTAAGTACTATCATTTATCCCCATTTTACTGATGAGGAAACTGAGGCTCAGAGAGGGGGCCCCAGGTCTGATTTCCAAGCCTGAATTCCTAGCAAACTGCCCTCTATTCCTCTCCAAAGAGGGAAATGTCTTTTTCCTGTCACGTTTCCAGCTACAGGCCAAATGAAGCTGTACCTGGTCACAAACACAGCGGCATCCACAGGGGGCGTATCATCCTTTCCTCCTGGAACCTGATTGTTGCCGAGGTATCGGGCTCCTCCATATTCCTCATTCTGCCAGTGACAGAAGCTCTCCAGGGACCGCTCACCATGGTGCCCGATGGACAATTTGGCCTAAAATAAATCAGGGGTGGGAGAGGACAGTTAAAGAAGCAAACACCCAGGGAAGCCCGAGTTTATCTCAGAATATAGTGTGGAGACAGCTGCTTGCTGGGACATTATTCAGTGACATGTGTCTCCCAAATACAAACCTAATGCTGGTAGAAAGATGCAGAGACCCAGAGAGAGGCCACTAGGGCCTTATTTGTAAGTTCAAATGAAGACTATGTTATTTAAGAGAAGTAGTCTCTGTCTCTGTCTCTGTCTCCCTCTCTCTCTCTCTTTTTATTTGGCAAACTGAACAGTGTACCCAACCAAACACTGGTCTCCCATTATCAAGTTCATTGCCTGCCTCTGCAAGGTGACACTGTCATGTGGAAACACTCAACTGAAAGACCAGAAAACAATGCTACAGTGAATCCAAGTTGGTCTAAGACTGAGAGATAGCTCCAGAAGGATAGCCATGGGCTTCCAAAGGCCTCCCCATCCAGCCCTGCACACGTGAGATGTGCATAGGTCCACTGCTCAGGGCTCCCTCGAGGCTCCAAGCAGATTATGTGCTCACCAAGCTTCGAGTCATAGTACCTGCCCTCCTCCTCTTGACACCCCCAGGCCCTGGTCCAGGGCATGCTGTTGCCATGTGCAAAGCCGGGGCCTACAGACATGACTGACGGTCTCCTGAGCACTCAACAAGCAAGCAAGGAACTTCAAGACCAGTTGCACCATCTGCACACTCTAAAGGGCGTCCCTGGGGACTTACAGGCCGTTGTCGTAGCAGGACAAGCTTGGTAACTTGAATGTTCACTTTACTTCCAAGGCTCTGGTGCTGAAACATATTGTACACCTGTCAGGAGAGAAAAAGAAATAGTGGTGTAAATACAAAAATTAACAAAACTACAGCAGTATGGATGGGATCGTGGGACACAGAAAAGGTGTTAGGTAACAACTAATGACATCTGAATAAACTATGGACTTCAGTTCATCATAATCGGTCAGAATGTCAAAGAAATACAAGTAATCCAAGGGGCACCTGACCTGAACATTTTTTCAAAGAAGACATATGGATGGCCAACAGACACATGAAAAGATGTGCCATCAGGGGAAATATGTATCAAAACCACAATGAGATATGACTTTACACCTGTCAGAATGACGAATATCAAAATAAGAAAAAAGTGTTAGTAAGGATGTGGAAAAAAAGGAAACTATATAATATTAACTACTGATTGAAAATCAGTTGTTAAAAAAAAGATACGGGACAGCAGATTCCTAAAGGAGGAAAGGATGTTAGAGGATTCTGATAGGAAACTCAAAAACTGCCATTCTTGGCTTTTATGCAAGAGGTTGAAAGGGACCTTCATGTAGGGGAGGGGGGAGGTCAATGCCTGTGGCTATCTACCATGTGCCAGCCTGTGTCATCTCTAACCTTCATCACAACCCATCAAGGTCAGTATCTCCGCTCATCAAGATAACACCACTTGCTCAAGACCCCCAGCTGGTCAACATTGACCCAATGCACATCCATGCTTGTCCAGCCAATAAGACCATATTCCTTCTTTATTCCCTGAAGTTCTCATTCCAACCAAGGCATGTCATGGAGATAGAAGTATAGCAACAAAAGACGACTGTTTCTCAGTTTTGCATCTCTTGTTGGTAGAACTTAATTATAAGGACCTCAATATCAAAAAAATCATAGGAAAGCATTTCAAAGGGAAGAGAGATAGGAAATCTCAAACAAGGCAGAGGAATCAAAGTCGACATGGATGGGGAAAGCCCACTGAATGAGAGGATCCCTGGACCCTGCCCTATAATACGGACAAAGCAGGAGGTAGGGGGTACCAGGTGTAGATCATGTAGGTGGTAGCTTAAGATAGAGAGAGAACAGGGAAGAGATCCTTTTGAACATCTGAGGAAATACTTTTGCTTCATTATGTCCTGGGTTTTTTTTTTCCAGTTTTATTGAAATACAATTGGTATATACATTGTATTATTTTTAGGTAAACAACATGATTGGATATCTGTATATATGTAGATAATCGCCACAGTAAGTAACACCATCATCTCACAAAGTTACAATCTGTTTTCTTGTGATAAGAACTTTTAAGATCTGCTCTCTCGGGAACTTTCAAACATATGATACAGTATCATTAACTACAGTCACCCTGTTGTGCATTACATTCCCAGGACTCATTATAACTGCAAGTTTGTACCTTTTGATCCCCTTTGCCCAGTGCCCACCCCCTTCTCTGGCAACCAACCAGCAATCGCTTCCTCTGTATCTAGGAGTTCAGTCTTCTTTAGATCCCACATATAAGTGAGAACATACAGTATTTCTTTCTCTCTGACCTATTTCCCATGGTTTTGAATACTCTACTTTGTTTTCTTTCTGATAGACACAATCTAGGAGGGAGAATTTTGCAGCAGGGGCATTAGAACTTTCTCCAGCTGGTACTTGTGTTCCAGTTCCTTGGGACATCGGTGGCAACATAAAGCAAGGACCAGAGCAGACAGGGCAGCCCCCATCAATTCAGGCCACATGAAGCTGGACACAGTGTCTGGCACACAAACGTCAGAAGCCAGGCACGCACAATGTTTGAGCATCTGTGTGACAAAGGAATTAGCTGTCTCATTGCTTGAATCTTACTCTTTGCAAACTATTATTAAAGCAAAATCAAATCTTTGTGTAATTTAATATTCTTTCCCACAAGGAAAAATAGAACACAGTTGTTCTGTTCTTACTCAGCCCACCCCCTAAACCTTCCCCCCTCAAGAACAAAATAAGCAGGTTTTTTTTTTTTTTTGTTTTGTTTTTGTTTTTCCACACTGGACCATCCGTAGGCCAATTCTGAAGTCATGTCTTAATTACCTATCCCCAAACCTGGGTGAAGAAGGGGAAAACACATAACTTTTTCCCTGTTTTGATATTTTGAGAACCACCCAATGGCTGCAATTCAAATTTTTCCAGAAATATTCAGCAATAGGATTGGGCCCAAACTGGAAAACCTCAATTCAAAACATGACAAAAAAATAGGAAGAATGAAACCCTGAAGTTCTGAGGGAGAAAATGCAAGTCGCACAGGATTTCAAGATGCAGTCTACTCACTGCCTGAAAGGTCAACACCAGCCAAAGATGTTAAAGGATGTTGTTTAGAGAAGATGTAAAGGAATGACACAGTAAAGCACTTCTCAACAGTACTGAGACACAGCACATAAAAGAGGCATAAAGAATCTTCATGAAATAGAGTAAATTTCAGGATGGCAAAACTATAAGAACACCCTGCCCCTCCAGAACCTTCCATTTCCTCCTCTCTGGGCTGATGACAGTTCTGTGCATCCTGCACAACCATGACCCCCAAAGGCGCAGTCACTTCCTATGGGGCAAAAAGGATGTGAGATGGAGAGGAAGAAAAATCTTCATGCTTTCAGGGGCTGGGAGGAAGGGCTGAGAGATGGGAACTGCTTCATGGGTACAGAGTTTCAGTTTTGCAAGATGACAAAGTTCTGGAGATTTGGTTGCACAACAATGTGAATATACTTAACAATACTGAACTATATACTTAAAAATGGCTAAGATGGGGGGGCGCCAGGGTGGCTCAAATGGCTGAGTGTCCGACTTCAGCTCAGGTCATGATCTCCCAATTCGTGTGTTCGAGCCCCACATTGGTCTCTGTGCTGACAGCTCAGAGCCTGCAGCCTGCTTCGTATTGTGTGTCTCCCTCTCTCTCTGCACCTCCACTGCTCACACTCTATGTGTCTCTCTCAAAAATAAACATTTTTAAAAAATGTTTTTGAACAGCTAAGATGGTAAATTTAGTATATATTTTACCACAATTGGAATTCAGTTAATTTTTTTTGGAAGAAGCTTCATGCTCTAGCAATATTCTCTAGCAAGCCTGAAGGCAGGCATTTCCCCTTGATGTATGCCTAGAGCGCTCATATCCAGGAAAGCAGATCTGGGAGCCTGACCGTAGCTAGAGCCACTCGTCACCTGGTGGGTGCCATACCACGTTCCCACAAAGCTAGCAGAGCACAGGCTCTCCCTAGAGGCCCGGAGCCAAGTCAGGAAAGCCAGACAAAAGTCCGACGACAGCCACGAACACAGAGCAGCAGGCCCCAAAGACATGTAAGGAAGTCTCCTTCTCTTTTTTTCCCCATGGAAATTCAAGCTCAGGAGAAGTCCTGGAAGGCGGCGGCCATACGATGCTACTTAGGGAGACACCTGGTTGGGCAAAGGAACAGCACGGCCGATCGTCTGGAAATTCTGTCTCTGGCGTCCAGCTCTGGCTGTGTCCTGGCAAGTGTTCAGAGCCCAGGCTGCGTTTGTCACATTTCCTTGGCAGCCTAGGGGCCGAGCCGGTGGACCTGATGCCAGCAGCACAATGCAGCTCTCCTGCCCGGGCAACTTGGGGACAGGGGCAGGGAGGGGCAGACCGGGCCAGAGAAGAAGCAGGTGATACAGACACACAGAGGAGCTGTTCAGGGGCCAGTGCAGGGATTCATTAAAAGCGCCACCTACCGGTGCTACCCGGGGCCTCCCCAAGGACAGACAAGGACTGCAGGTGACACCCGCCAGTCACACTGGGTGCCCATTCAGACCCCCATCTAGTAAAGGACTCTCTCTAGCACGGTGCCTCTGAGTGGGGTCCCTGAGCAGCAGCATCTGGGTTATTTGTTGGAAATGCATTCTGGAGCCCACCCCAGAGCCACTGAGTCAGAGACCCTGGGGGTGGACCCAGCCACCTGCAGTTTACAATCCCCCCCAGTGGGTTCCCAGGGATGGCTGCTGGCATGTGCGGACCAGGCAGTGCTCTAATGCCGTGACAGTTTCTCTGGGCACCGGAGAGAGGCTTATTGTCTGTTTCGCATGGTAATGGAGTGAAATTGATGTCATTTTTCCTCCAAACAGAGCTCGCCCGGAACATCTCAGGTTTTCATTTCACTCCACGGTTGTTAAGGAAGCTAAAAACAACCAAAGCTCTGTCAAGCAGCCCCATTTTCCAATCCGGCTGCCCAAACCTAGGGTTTCTGCTGTCAGGGCCACCTGCTTCCGCCTGCAACTTGGTCTTGAAAACATTCCTGCTCCCGTGTCACTACCACTCCCAACAGCGGGAAACCCAAGCTATATACATAAGAAGACACTACAGCACATTTGAAAAACTGACCAATGCCAAGTCCAGAAGACCACTCTGCAGCCTGCTGTCAGTGGAAAGACCCAGCCTGGCAGAGGCCTCCGTGTGCACCCGTGCATGTGAGGGCTTGCTGGGGACACGGAAGTTAATGTTTATTTATTTTGAGATAGTGGGAATGAGAGAAGGAGGGGTAGAGAGAGGGAGAGAGAGAATCCCAAGCAGGCTCCATGCTATCAGCACACAGAGCCCAATGTGAAGCTCAATCTCACAGACCACAAGATCATGACATGAGCAGAAATCAAGAGTCAGAGGCTTAAGCTACTGAGCCACCCAGGCCCCAGAGGCATATAATGAAATCCACCAGGTACGAGGACAAGGAGAAATAATGCAGCTACTCGTCACAGACATCCACCCCCTTCCCTCCTCTCAAACGCGTCCCATCAGGCCACTGATTGACGCTTATCTAATTTACACATCACAACCAGGAGACACTATGAAAACTGTGAGCAAACACAGGACACCAAATTCTCCCACCTTTGAGCATGTTATCCTACACAAAGTCCCCACAAGTGCCCAGGCCTGCCTTGGGGACAGAAGCATGCCTAGATGTAGCCTCAAGGGTCAGAGCAGCAAGTGTGGTCTCTACCCAGAGACCCAAGTGGGACCTTGTGATGCTACTTCTCTCAGCCTGGAGAGAAACGTGTTGCAAGGAAGGTGGGAATCACTCCAGCAGATTCCCTTCCAAATCCACGAGAGCTGGGGAAACAGAGCTATTTCCATCCTGCAGCCCCACAGGAAACACTCGGGCGGGACAGAGATGGGCTGGTTGGCCTCACCTTCCCACTCACGGCACCTGGAGGCTTGGCTAATGACAGGGCTCCTCATCCCGACCACAATCCTTTCCCATCCTCCTGGCTTAAAGAAGATCTCACTTCCTAACAGAAATCCCTTGGCTAAAACAGCCACAGGAAGAACAGAATTCTTTGGATTTTCACAACTAGTATTTTGAAGGACTGAAGTGGTGGAGGGTGGTCTTGTTCAAAACAAGGGGCAGCGTCTGAATGCAACTTGTTGTTAAACTTGCTGAAGAGCTGACCCCCACCAGAGCAACGGACACCAGCTCCGGGTGCTGAGAGTCTGCATGAATGGGTCAGGAGACCCTGCCGTCATTTGCCCTCTGGCCCCGCCACACCGGCCAAGATTTGCCCACAGGAGGTGGTGGGAGGGTTCCGTATTAGCGTACACAGGCCATATGCCTTTCGCCACAGCGGCCCTGCCCTCAGTAGGCAGGCCCCATCAGGAAACATCTAAATCCCAATTTAATGTGGCTGGCCCCAGATATGCCCTCAGCGACAGGATCTGGAGCCTCCAACGCCTTAGTACAAGCAGTGGAAGGGGAGCAAAGTGTGGAATTAAAGCCAGACAAGGGGACCGACCACTCAGTCCCTGTCCTTCAGCTTTAGGGGGCGGGAGGGGTGAGGGGTAACCCTGCCGCATACCACCCCCTCCCTGCCTGTGATAAAACAGCTGCCGCTGTGCTGGCGATAAAATTATGAAAGCAACTATCAAAGTAGAAGCTTTGCCTCGGTACTACTTTAGTTGCCATAATGAGTGTTTACTCCTGGCACTCGTGCTCTGGACAATTAAAAACAATAAACGAGATGAAATCAACTACAGATGAAAGGGTCTGGTGTGGAGCCAGCCCCACCAGCCGTTCTTCTGGGTTTCCTCAGGGCAGACCAAAGCACGGCACCCCGTCATTAACCAGCCACCAGGAGGACTTGGGTTTGTGCAAATGAAGAACTCAGGCGTATTTCTCAGCAACCCGGGCCACCCCCTCCCTCCTCCCTGCGTGCCCGCCGCCTCCACCCTCTCACTCCCGGCCCCTAGCTTGGATCCTCTCCCTGACACGCTCTCCATCTCCAATGCCCCCTCTCCCCTGTTCCCACTCCACTGCCCCCCTGGGCCACAGCTGCTGGGGCCATTCCTCCCTTCCCCCTTCAGCTGCCGCACTGCTCGGGATGTCTTCCGGCCCTCTTTAACAGCCAGGCCAGTGTCCACCCACGCCCCTAAGGCTCCCCTCCTCCCTGCCGCAGCCACATCACACCACTGGTCTGCCCACAAATGCAGCCTCCACCACACCCACTGCAAGACTTGTCACCCCTACCCCAATCTCACAAACTCTCACTCTCACTCAGCTCAAAGGTCAGCTCTTTCCTAAAGTGCCCATGCTGCACAATGATCGCTCGGCAGCCCTCCACCTGAGCCCCAGAGGCCCCTGCAGATATTTCTACAGTAACATGGGTATTTTATCCGTCTGCTGATACCACTGCCTTCCGAGGGAAGGACCAGGTCTGTTGTCACTGTATCCCCAATACCTGATGCAGTGCCAGTGGTCTTCAAAAATGCTTGTTAGGAAAGGGGATGGATAGGTAGAGTTGGGATACAGGCAAAAGTTTTTCTGTGTCTCCTCTGTGAGGAGTGCAGCCCCTCCCCTGCCCAGCCATCATGTGAAGGTTTCCCTCTACCCACATTCATCAAGTCAGATGTAGACACAAGCTTCGGGGCTCCTTCCCTGGTACCCTCAATTAGATTACCTCTCCCCGCGTTTTCCTCCAGCCCTCACAGCATACGGCAAGAGCTGATTCACATCAAAGTTTGATCCTGATTCCTTCTACTAGACCACTGACTCCTTAAAACAGGGGCTGACTCACTCAACATCAAATCACCCTGGGAGGGGGTCTAGCATTCAAGAAAGGTTTTGGCAAACCTCTGATAAAGAGCGGCAGGCAGGACACAACCAGTAAGCAGACCCAGGCGCTGAAACAACACACCAGGGCAGGGGGGACAGGTGGGCCCTCTCCCATCGGAAGCCCTTCGGTTCCCTGCTGGAGGGTCACAGGGCTGTGTGTGTCTCCATCCCTCCACCCAGCTTCTTCCTTAGCTGGGGAAAAAGACAAGGACAGAGCACTCATCCAGGAGGAAGCAGAGCCCCCCCCCACCCCCCACCCCGGGTCAGGATGCCAACTGGAGACTCACCATGTTCATGACTGTGAGGATGAACCTCTGGGCGGCCTCTGCCCCGTGGTACCGCACCATGTCGGCATCGGCCACCACCAGGGTCTCCACTGTGTGCTCGTTGGTGAGCTGGATGGCGTTCCTCCGCTCCCGCCAGTCCTGGGATGGCCTGTCCTTCCTTGGCTTCTTCTTTTCTAGAAGACAACAGAGACATTCATGCAGTCATAGGCATTTTGATTTCCAAAGCCATATGGTAAGCTGGCCTTCTATTGAGCCTCCCACAGAGAATGGTCCATCTCCAGTGGCCAGGAGATGGACCTCCACCATCATGGGGTGGGGGACAGGGCCTGAGCTCACTTGCTACAGGTGGAACTGATGGGTAGAAGATGGCTCACACCTGTTGACATTACAGCCAAGGAAGCAAAAAGGACTGACTATCAAGGAAGAGAAAATCTGTCCCATCAGAGGAAGGTGGACAGAAGGACACAGATGGCGGAGGAAAAGGAAGCCTAGGCCCAGTGGGGAGAGATCAGAAAGTACCTCATGTTAATGGCACAGAAAGGGCTATACCCACTGCGGCCAGCTGGGACCCAGGGAGCTGGCATTCTGGCCACTGTTCTTGAGAGTCATGAGTAAGGAGCTATAAGCATTAGCAGTCACAAAGCATTGTTTCAAAGAAAAACAACATAATCCAAAAAAATATTTCACGACACACACACCCAGGCCAAGATGCAAGTGTGTCCTTTCCTCAACACAGGGAAAGGTTATCTGTAATCCTTTGTTGACTCCTGGATTTTTTTAGTTTATTTATTTTAAGAGAGAGAGAGAGAGGAAGGGAGGAGAAATGTGTGTGTGTGTGCGTGTGTGTGTGCGTGTGTGTGCGCGCGCGCGCACGCGCGCACACGTGCACACGCACAGGAGAGGGCAGAGAGGGAGAGAATTCCCCAGCAGGCTCTGGGCTGTCTAATGCAGGGCTTGATCTCATGAACTGTGAAATCATGACCTGGGACGAAATCAAAAGTTGGACATTTCACTGACTGAGCCACCCAGGCTCCCCTTCTGCTGACTCTTTAGATAAACTGATTCCCTATAAGAGCTCACTTTGATAAGCAGGTGTTGTTAATTACAGCCCATATCAGAGTGTCTGGGCATTTCAGCTGCCATGTGAGGACAACCTAGACTTTGTTGGTGAAAACCCCCTGACCAACACCAAAGCTTGATATCAATAGCACATATTTTCAGGATCCAAATGTAAACAGAAGGCAGTTCTTAAATTTGTTAGCTATCAGTCCCATTTTTAGCACTAGACCAGACATGGAAGTCAGTCTGCTACAATTTCCATGCAGCGAACCCAGCCCTGTATGCACAAAGTAGCTTCATAAAGTGACATGATCATTCTAGGGCTCAAAATGCACACTGTGAAACAGCCTGAGGTATGGGTCATAATGAACAAACAAGAACACTTTGTGTGATATAATAACAATTGTGAAAACTGAAAAGCAATCTAAATATCCAACCACAGAGAACATCAGCAAGGGGAAAACAGTACGTAGCTGTGAAAGGTACGTTTGTGAAGGTGATTTAGTGATGTAGAGAGAAGCAGAAATAGATCCCCATATACAGTCAAATCCCAGTTTTGCAAAGAGTCAGCACACAAGCATCTTCAGGTGAAGGAGGAGGAGGATATAACTTAAAAATAAATAAACAAACAAACAGATGGACAATCAGATAACCAACCAACCTAGGTAGAACATAACTAAAATGGGAATGACAGGGGATATGTGATCTTCATTTTTCTTTTTCATTTGTATTTTTCAAATGTATACAATAAACTAGAATTACTTTATTCATGTAAAATAACAATGTTGAGTTTGAGAAAAACAAGATGCCACTTGTAAACTCTCAACAACAATACAGAAGATAGGAGGGAGCAAAGTTCCTCATCTGATTAGCCACAGAAATGCAAGACAAAAAGCATGAATGTGTTGGCCCCGCAGGATGGTTCTCTCCTCCCCCAGAGCCAGGTGCACCTCCCATAGAGCCTTCTGGGCCTCAGCAGCGGAGTGAGGGAAGGGAGAGTCCTTTCTAAGACAACAGGCCAGATCTCACATGGCACTGCCTTGCATGGGGGCAGAATGAAAGAGGCCACTTGTTAAAAATCTCTATAAAACTTACGCACACATTCACCAACCAGATCATCCCTGAACGCGAGGAAGGTGGACCACGGGTGATCTCCCAATTCTGGGCTCAGCGTGCTTGCTTGCTGGGTGCTCACTGCCCAGGTTGGGTAGATCTGTCCAACTTGGAAATTTACAACAATCCCCTTGCTCCCATTTCAACACAGCGGAAGTGATGGGCTACCAAGCCAGAGCTCTGTTGTAATGAGCACCTCCACGTGCTCCCAGGAGACCGGCCAGGAGCCATGCAGTGCTCCATCTCTTCTCAAGGTCATTACTGACAACTCCCTCCTTGGAGCCACCAACTCCCGTTCTCACCTGTAGATGTCTCCCTAAGTGAGCTGCTCAGTACTTCTCTTTGCAAAGTGTCCTATATTTTCAGGTTCTCGCGTGGGAAGAGCTGTATTGTCAGCATGGCCCAGAGGACAATTAATAATCTCTCTGGGGCACCTGGGTGGCTCAGGTGGTTAAGCGTCCGACTTCGGCTCAGGTCATGATCTCACAGTTTGTGGGTTCGAGCCCCGCGTCAGGCTCTGTGCTGACAGCCAGCTCAGAGCCTGAAGCCTGTTTCAGATTCTGTGTCTCCCTCTCTCTCTGACCCTCCCCTGTTCACGCTCTCTCAGAAATAAATAAAACATTTAAAAAAATTGTTTAAGTAATAATCTCTTCTGGAAGATGGCAAGCCTGAACATGTAAGAACTGAGCACTCTCTTTCTTTTTAATGTATTTATTTATTTCTGAGAGAGAGAGACAGTGTGAGCAGGGAAAGGTCAGAGAGAGAGGGAGATACAGAATCTGAAGCAGGCTCCAGGCTTTGAGCTGTCAGCACAGAGCCTGATGCAGGGCTCAAACCCACGAACTATGAGATCATGACCTGAGCCGAAGTCAGACGCTCAACCAACTGAGCCACCCAGGCGCCCCAAAGCACTCTCGAAGAAAAGTAGCCTATCACTCCCAAATCAGAGGGGAGGTTGCTCTCAGACATCCAACATAATCAAAATGCCGCACTGGGGCATCAGTCTTTCAAGCACAAAGTAGGACTCTCAAGCCCTGCCCCTCCCTTCCTGATGAGAGCTAATAAACAGGCTGTCACAAAGGGCGCAATGCTGGGGGTTGACACATGCCCAGAATACTAAGTAACAGGTAAAACACAATGGTCAGGTGCTCTGTGGTTTTAAAAGGGTTTTTACTATGAGTCTCATTGGTTCCATTCATTGCCTCCCACCCTCAACCCCTGGCATAACACTTGGTGTGAAATAAATATTCATTGAATGAATGCACACGTGAGTAAATGGATGAATGAGTAAGCGGAATCTGTTTCCCACATAACAAAGCTGAAGTCGAGCCCCAGGCAGTGGTGAATTCGGCCCTGGGACCCAAAGCTTCCCCCCTGGGCTCTGACTCTCCCCAGGTGCCCTGCCTGTGTGTGCCCACGTACTCCTCACTGCCATCTGAACTTAAAACATAACAGTGGGAGGGTGGAAGAAAGCTCCGTGGGAAAGGATTCTGTGTTGCGCATGGTGAAATGGACTTTGCTGCTGCAGGACCTCACCCAGAAGACAGGGCACAGCGACTCTGAGCAGCTTTCAGTGATAGTGCTCCTTCTCCTTGGAGAAGTGCTCCTTGGAGCACTGCTCTCTAGCTTCTTCCAGGCCCTGCAACAGCTATAGCACAATTATCCCTCCCGGCTGCCTGCACTCCCCTCACCGAGTGTTGCTCATTGGGTCTGTCACGCCAGAACCACACCAGGCTGGCTGGGGACTCGGAGACACAACCCCAGTGCTCTGTCCTATCCCCGCATTCAAAGGAAGAGGTCTAAAGCCTTGATCCAAACCCCTGCAGCTTGATGGGTTGCAGGAATTGAGAATTTTTCAGATTTTGCAAGGCCATGAAGTGCATGTGCCCCACACCGAATACTGCTTTCCCTGAGGTCTAGGGCCATTAGCGGTTATTGAAGGCAATAGTACTTCTGCAGAGAAATGAAAAAAAGGGGGTCAAGAAAGATGTTCATGTCAGGGCAGGGCAGGCCTTCCACATAATGAGTGTCAAAAATCCTAGGGGGCACCTGAGTGGCTCAGTCAAGTAAGCGTCCGACTTTGGCTCAGGTCATGATCTCACAGTCTGTGAGTTTAAGACCTGCATCAGGCTCTGTGCTGACAACTTGGAGCCTGGAGCCTGTTTCAGATTCTGTGTCTCCCTCTCTCTCTCTGCCCCTGCCCCTTTCATGCTCTCTGTCTCTCAAAAATGAATTAAAAAAATACATTTTAAAAAATCCTGGATTTTGGAGTTGCAGGTAAAAGACCAAGGATCTATAATCCCTCTCCGTGCCCATGTCCTTCCTAGGGGGTAGTGGCAGAGAGGAGCAGGGAGATGGAGGGAAGTTTGCTCCCTCCTTTCTCCTCCCTCTCATCAACCACTCTACCAGTAGCTCGGCAATGGTTATTCTTTCCCTACAGCAAGATCAGAACCATCATACATTTTTACATTGAAAGCTACAAACTGCATACATATACCCTAACACACATACTTCATCAACACCAATATTCACAGATTATAAGTATCATGAAAAGGAAGAAGAACACCACCAATTTCAGAAAAACAAGGGTGCTGGATCCAGACCTCATGGGAGAGGTCAAAGTTCAAGCTGGGCAGGGGTGCAGCCCTCTGGGGGGCCCTCCACGCTGGGCTCGGTAATCCACTGTCTCCAGCCACTGTGGGAACAAGGGAGGTGGCCCTCACCCCCCTGATGAGGACAGACCACAGCTTGTGGGGCCCCAGGTCCCCTCCAGCCGTTACAGACAACAGCGATCATTCTAAGTTCACTCCGTGGTCTTGTTTGCCAGCACGCTGCTGGAGTTGGTGTTGACTTGGTAGATTTTCAATCTTTGGCTTCATATAATTTTTCTTACATTTATTTTCCTTTTACCCCAATTATCTCTTAAAAAAGAAAATTCTACATATTTTTGGAAGATACTCCAAGTCTTTTTTATTTAAAAAAATCTTTTTAATATTTATTT